AACAGAAGGAGCTGTATAAAAATGGTTCTTAAAGTTACTTTGTATTTTTTGTGGAAGGAATTTTAGAAATTAAGTATTACCTGAAGATACTTACCTTTTTATATTCCCTCTTGCTTTGGTACTTAAAAGAAATTTATTGTGATCATTCTAATTCAGTCAGTGAAGTAAGAGACCAAAAGTTTTAGATACATTTTCATTATTAAATTCTTATTGTCATGCACTGGAATTTCAGAGCTCTACCCTAATGGTTTTGCCCTAAGTAGAGGAAGCTACCTGAGAGGACATCGTGGATTAACATATCCACTGCCATAAAATTGATTAGGACAGAGTAGAATTTTCCCTTAGTGTTTTCAAGACTGTAAATCTCTATGGTAGCAGAGAACCTCATCTTTCCCCTTTGGGGTGGCTAGTGACTTTGAACAGCCAATCTTAGCCGTTTGCAGCCCAAGGTGTAACCCACTGTATCACCAGGTTTCCTTAAAGGCATAGATTAATGATAATAAAAGGACACCCTTGGAATTAGAAGTGAAGGAAAAATTACTCAAGTTGTCATTAATCCAGAGATACTCTAAAAATTCTAGGATTAGTTTGGCGTTAAACTATTGGTTTTATAACAAACTTTGTTGAATTTTGTTACTCCAGTGATCATACTCCTATAAAAGTAATACATGTACATTAATAGTGATAGTTTTTATTGTGGTTTTGTTTTTGATACTGAAGTATTGGAATAGTCAGTATTTGAAAGTATCAGAGGCAATCTTTAATCTTGTGTGACACATTTGGTTGAGTTTAACGTGAATATTCTGACAGTATAACACAACTGTCAAAATACCATTTGATTGAATTTATGCAGTAGCAGAATGTGTATGTATAAATAGATATTAATGAATAAGTTAATTTTATTTGTTGGGTGAATTATTTTTAAAAATATAGATGCATTCATTTGTTTCACTAGACATACATTAGAAGTTTTCAAAAAAAAATTTTCAAAATAAATTTTGTATCTTTACTGTAGAAACTATGTTACCCATTAACATTCTATGGCATACTTTGTGCAGTATTATAAAATATTGAAATGTACAAACTTTGAACTTTGCAAACTACATATTGGCAAGCATTAATTTATTTCATGTTTGGTCAGCTTTAATTTATCTAATAGTAGTTTTTGATTCAGAAGCAGTGAGTAAGGTTTAGGTTGCAACATGGGCAGTTTAAACCCACCACTCATTCTGTGGAAGAAAGATGAGGTGGTCTGCTCCCACAAAGATTATAGTCTCAAAAGCTAAGTACCATTTCTACTCTGTCCTATAGAGTCACTATGAATACAACCTACCTGCCAGGTGTAGGTTGGGGTGCACTTGGCTGCCCGTGGTTTGAATCCACTGCCACTCTGGGGGAGAGAGAGGTGACAGTCTCCTTCTGTAAAGATTGTAGTCTTTAAAACGGAGGCAGTTCTGCCCACTCATTATTAATCAGAATCAACTCCAAAGCAGACATTAAATCATGCTTTTAAGATTAAGTGGCCCCTAATAAAACGATTAAAAAAAAAGAAAACTATTCTACAGGGGAAATGTCACCACGTAAGTGGGAAGCAGAAGTATAGATAAGGAAA